CAATAACATGTATTTTGCCAAATTCAGAGGTCAGTTCTCAGTCTTCATCTTAATCAACTTCTCAGGAAATTGGCAGAGTTGATCATTTCTTCCTCTTCAAAACCTTTTTTTTTTTTTTTTTGCAGTTCCCTTCTGGACACCACTTTCTCTTAAGTTTTCTTCCTACTTTCCTAGTTGATACTTCTTGGCCTCCTTTGCCCAACTGTTCTCATTTATCTGCCATTAAGATGTGGAGTACCTATGACACTATCCTTGAGTATCTCTTATCATTCTTCACCAATTCCTCCTGGTGGCCCCAAGTAGTTTTTAGCTTTAGATATTGCTATATGCTAATGACTCCTAAATTTATAATCCAGGCCAGATTTTTCCCTTGACCTCTATACTCATATATCCAAATGCCTACTCAACACATCCACTTAGATGTCTAATAGGCTTTTCAAACTTAACATATTCAACAAACTTGTTTCTCCCCAAATTCCTCCACCTTTAGTCTTCTCTGTCTCAGTCAGGTAGAGTGTGTGATCTCAGCAGAGGGGAGTTCTCAAGAACACAACCATAAAGCTGGTGAAAGAATGAAAGCCCATGAAGGAGACTGAAAAGTAGAAGAATATGAAAATATAGATCAAGAAAGAAACGAGAGGAATAGTAAATTCTGACAAAAGCTATAAGGAGAGCTATAGAGTGAGGACTGAAAAAGATCCACTGGATTTGGCATTTCAGAAGTCATTGATGACTACTGCGTCAGTAGGTTTGGAAGAGCTTAAGAAAGATAAAGAAGGCTGGCTGGGATGATACAGAAAGATGGCTCTCTGATATTAATCCATGAATGCTTGGGGCTACATTTCCATCAATATGCTTTATTAGCACCTCATATCCAGTATGTCCAATAATGAACTAATTTTCTTTCTTCTCTCTTGTTATCCTTAATCCCAAATAAATTAATGCCAAATACCCAGTCCTTCCAAATTCTCCATCATGATGAATGAAGGAATACCTAGTAAACACAAACCTTGGGGATCATCTGTTTCTCCTTCCCCACCCATTTCTAATTTGTCAAATCTGACTGCAGCCCTTATCTGCACTGGTCTAACTCAAGTATTTATCAACCTTCTTTCTCCCAGTTCCCATACTAATAAGCCTCCTCACTGGTTTCCTTGCCTGAGGATTTCCCATACCCAACTAGTTCAACTATTTGCTTACTAGTTACCATTAAATAAACCTTTAGTTAAAAACTGAAGGCTGCTTCGAATGTCCCACTGACAATAACATAATCCCTTAGACTAGCACACTAAGGTCTTTGAGATCTGGCTTCCACCTACTATTCCAACCTCAGTTTGTAACAGTTCCCCACTTGTATTAACACAATGTACATTGCATGGGGTCATGCACATATATTTCCCACACGTCTTCTATCCCTGGAATAAATAGCTGGAACTTTCAAAGTTCAAAAAGCTTTTTCTCCCTAAATTGAAATATAATTTCAGTAAGTTTGGGAAATAAAAGAAAAAAATTAGCCATAGTATTGTCATTTTAATAGAACATCTTTGTTTATTTCCCTCCTGATATTCCCCTATAAATGTACATTATCTGTATAGTAAACATACAATTTTGCATAATCTTATGTACTTTATGTAGTTATTCCCTGCGATGTTGCAGAAAGGGAATATCACGAATTATAATATTTTGATAAAAAGAAAAAAAGGTGGGGACAAAATAAAGCTATGAATAAGGTTTATGATGCATACCATGATGACCTACTTATCTACCATGGGTGAGCTACAGACTTGGCTCTCAAATTTCTAGCAACCAATGTTAAAAACAAAAAGTTTGTCAATTATCCAAGTGCACTGCTCATGAAGTTTTAAAAAAAATGTTCCAGTAGTTTCAACTCTTCTTTGAACAAATATTGTAAAAAATATTTCTCTTGAAGTCCTTCTAAAGCAAATACAAGGGTGATAATTTCTGGGAAGACTCCTTATTACAGATAGTGCATCTCATTTCATGTAATTGATCATACTGAGAATCAGTATAGGCAGTTAACAATATATCCCCATTGCACAAATCACAGAGTGATTTTGTAAAAACCATCTTTTGGAAATCATTTGATATTATCAAGGCACCCAGCTCCTTGCTGCTCTGCTTTGAATCATGGGTAAATATTAATATATTGGAATACATATAATACATATTAGACTGTCACAGAAGTGGCTGAATTTTTATCCTTTAGGAAAATGTACCTGAATGTTGTTTTCCTTCAAGATAGTTCTAAATAGTTCTTAGGTGAAGTCTTAAAATTTCAGGTCTCATTTTGGGCAGTTGAGGCATGCTAGAATAACAGATTTTAGGCTGAGAAGCAAAAATTTTCTTTTTGATCATGAACATGGTTCCCTTTGGGAAAGTCCTCTGAGTATAAAAATGTAACTGGGTCAGGAATGTTAGTCTTGGGTTTTGTTTCTACTAGAGAATAGGATGTTACCCTAGAAGGACTCAAACATAAACTGAATCATATATTCAAGTTTGCAGACATTCTCACTGTTCCCAACCTTGAGTTCTCTCTAGAAGTATGGCTAGGAGGAGCCAGAAGTATCACCTTCATTGACGTATTACATGGCTGGTAAGAAGCCTGAATACTAAGACCTTTGTTTTTATATTCTGAGTTTTTCAGAAGATTTGGTAACCTTTGCCTTTAGCAATGTTTGTAGGGCCTTGGAATATGGACTTTTGTCCCTAATTAATTCAGTCACTAACTAGATGGCTGACCGTAGGCAGGCTACTTAAAAGTTTCTGAGCTCAGTTTTCCTCCCCTGAAAAATGGGGTAGTAGTATAGTAGCAGGTAATTGCCTCCCTAGGATTCCTTCCACTTAGGAGTCACACTGACCCTTTGCACATCAGCTCTAAGTGAGGAATTCCCTCAGTCTGATGATAGTAAGTGATTATTAATACTCCTCTAACAGTGGACCTGGGATACTAGGAGACAGTCATATATCTTAATTAAGAACAAGGCTTTGCAGGGGAAAACTCCTGGTTGCACTCTGCCACTTAATTTGGCCTGGGGCAAGTATGAACTTTGAAGCTCAGTTTCCCTACCTATAAAGTAAGAATAATATAAGCTGTTATAAAGTTGTATTAAATGAGATGCTGTAAATTCAGTCCTAAATACAGTGTCTGGCACAAAGCAAGTGCTCAATCAAAAGTATCCATTTTTAATACAGATTTTCTTGGGTACATTGAAATAACTTCTTTTCTAAAGAATTTCTCCAGATTGAATATCAGCACTCTTGTAATTAGAGTATTTAAAGGTTTTAAGGTGCCAACTTGGGCTGACTTGTTTAAAAAAAATGGAAAGACATAAGCTCAGGGGATTTTTTAAAATTAAGCAAAACAACCTGCGTGCTGACCTTTACACTAGTTATTTTACTCCATAAGTCTATTAATAAACACAACTTCAAGCTGTTTGATTTAGCATTAATGTAATCCAGGCCAAATATGCTACCTAACAGCAGTAATAAAACTTACTTGCCTGTCCCAAAGAAATTTTAGTGGAGGTTTGCTTCACTTTTCTGTTTGTTTTGAAACAAAATTTTCAGAAAGTTCTTAGTTTGAGGTTCTTATCAATAGATATTTAGTCCTTTTAGCTTTTGATTACTTGTAGATTATATTTAAATACAACTAAATGTGATAAAATCATTCTTAAGTAAGATAAACTTTGAAGGCTGTTATAAACTCTTATAATTTAAAAACAACTGCTTAACTGTAAAATACAAGAAAAGGAAAAAAATTTTCCCAAATGTGCAAAAACAATTCTTTGCTATGCTCTTAACTGCAGCAGGAAATATGTGTTTGTTTATTACGACCCTACTGCTTCCATAGTCAGATTAACTTTCAAACAGAGAATTTTCATTCTGTTTAACCAATAATTGTCTCCCTGGTTTGTGGAAACTGATAATTGGCAGGTCGTTCAAGGAGAATTACTTGCATAATTTTATCTAGTAATGCCTGGCTTGTCCCCACAGTTTGGGAATAGACTCTTGTGAACAGGGAATAAATCTAACTGTAGGGCCCCCTATAGGGGGTATTCAGTAGCACACAGTAACATGCTGGGTCAAACTGTTTAAAGGTGACTTTCAGGGACTATCAAAATTTTAACAAAAGGGTTCTGAATTACCATTATTTGTTGAATGTCTCCTTGTTGATTCTAGGTTCCTCCTCATTCATGAGATGTGAGCCTTAACTGATTTGCAGCAAGTTGTGGAAGAGTAACCACTTGTATTTCTGCTAGAAGGTTCTCTGCAGGATAAAGGGTGAGTAATATATTTTATAGATAAACAATCTACACTGATTCATAAATCTTGAATACCTGTATGTTAAATATCCAAAATTTATTAATCCATTGTATGGACTTAATTCAATTTTAAAAGTTTCTTAGGAACTAGCTTATTATTTTCTGTCTCTATAGCTCTATTTCCTTTAATACTTTGTTTGATTAACTATCATGGAACTTCACTCATTTTCAAAAGCAATTTTAAACGACTGCATATGAAATTTATGCATACTAAATCTTAAATTCAACTTTCTAAAAATTACCTAATCATTGATTTGTGAAAACTGATCAGGAGAAAAAAATTAGTAAGTGGATCCATCTTATAGCTTCTGAATTAATGACCAAAAGTGGTATTTGAAACTGTCGCTAAGCTCTAAAGAGATCTACTGGCTCTGCTCACCATCAGAGTGCTGGTTGAAATGGAGTGTCCTTGTTTTGACATTCTATCTGCTCAATCTGGTACTTTTTCATTAGTGATGGTAAGGGAAAATTGGTAGAATTTAATGTAAAGAATAGCCAGAAATTGTTTAACAGAATCCTATTTTGAATCTGGCAGAAACCCTACTCTCTCCCCATTTTGGCCACCCTCCAACTTGTCAAGCCTTGTTCGCTTTGGCTTTATTTAAAAAATGCATTTCTTGTGAGGAAAGGTTTTGTACTGTGTTTTCAATGACTCACCCAAAATAACTCCATTCAACTTGCAAACGGTCCTGTTCTGAATGCAGATTGTGTTTGTTCTGAGATGGGCATGGAGGAGCTGCAGAAGGGAGATTAGAGAAGGGAAATGTGGGAGAGGCCAGTGCAGTTTATATATTTATTTAGGTTCAAGCACATATCAGAATTATTAAGAGAGAGTGTGTGTGTGTTTTAAATAACTGTTTATGAGGTCTGTACCACTTAAAGCTTTTACTATTAGATAAATCAGTAGTAACTAAATTCATGATTCATGTAGTCTTTTTTTCTGACTCTCCAAACTCTTGTTTCTGACCCTCATAAGATGTGACACAGGAGATTTATATGTAAATACATAATTCCAACTATATGCAGAGTGAAAAATAATTTTTTAAAATATCCTAAATGGACTCAAATAGGAAATAATCATATACAGAAGAGCTAGAACTAAAATTAGGAAGAAAATGTATATCAATAAATTGATCACAGAATATGACAGTATTAAAACTAGGAAATACAATAATGACATCCCCCTGTTGTATATTACAGAAAAAATGTTTAATATCAGGTGGCATAGATTGAGCAAATATTTGATGATGGATATAGCTCCTCAAAAGCTTTTATGATTCAAAATGTCAGGGCAGAGATCTTTAAAAGCAATATTTTAGAGCAGGATTGAAAAGGAAAATTTTAAAAAGGACTGATCTAAACTTTAGCATTATAGCTTCACAGATGAATTAAGGCTTCATATTTGACTTTCCTCTTGTAACTATGTACAGTTATAACGATTTTGATTTCAAAATATCATTTGAGTTGTTTCATGAATTCATGAAACAGACCAAATAAAACTTATTCTGTTATACAATCTTGCTTCACTCGTTGATGAAGAATAGATGAGCTGTTCTTACCTGTTCTCAGAAACAACAGGGAATTAAGCCACCAAAAAGAAAACAAGCTGTCTACAAAGTTTTACCATGGAAAGAATAAATTTAGCATCATGTGGCAAACTGAAGAAACTGTGATCTGGGAATAGTGGTGAAATGAGTGATTAAATGACAAGTCTTCAACATCCACAAATTAGAAAGTATATAAACTTTCACAGATTATGTAAATCATTTGTAAGGCCAACTTCCAGTGGTATTAACACCTGCTTCTCTTTCTGGTATGTACTTGAGAAAAATAAGAGAAATCAAAATAGATTGTTATGCTATATTAATGCTTATGTACGAGGACAATGAACTGGTAATAATAATCCTTAAATTTTTGCTAATATGGGAAAACCCAAAAAATAAGTAAGAGGTTTAAATTATAGACCACAAATATGTAATTTTATTTCTTTAGAATATACAGAATAACCAGAAACAATTTAATGTTTAATAACAACTTAAAGGAATTTACCTTGTAAATAAATCTTTGAAAGTTTTTGAAGAATCCACTTGTTGAATCCTGGAATCCAGGTGTCCCTGGAAATATTAATAGCTTTACTGAGGGAGCACAAAATATTTCATGTTGAAATGAATTTTAGAAATACTAGTTTAAATAGGTTTTTTTAACCTAAATTTTTTAAAGTAAACTTGTGTACTTCTCAAATTTTTAACATTCTCTGTGACTGGAGTGCGGTGGGGGAAGGTGAAGTTATAATATGCAGTGTTTTCCAAATTTATTTCACATAGAATTCTTTTCAGGAAATCCTATCGAAACATAAAATGCTACTGTTTTTTTAATCTGTAATTCTACTTGCCCTACACCTTACATTTCCCTCTTGTCTTAATAAGGGGTGAAAATCTGGTGAACTAATGCTACCACTTTCTGTTGATTTTGAGTTATTAAGATTATGACACACAAAATAAAAATTCTGATTACATAAATATTATTAAAGAAATAATACTGTAACTTGGCTTACCCAACAGTAAATCTTGTTTTGTAATTTTGAAGCATGTGTTAAGGTCTGGAAAAGCAAAAAGTAACTAAAGGAATTAAACTGAGCATAATGCTTCACTTTTGATGTCAGTTTTTCCATTTAAAACTGCCTAATTTAACCAGAGTATATTTTCTGTGCTGGCTTGAATTTACTTTTTTAAAAATTCTTTTTTAAAAATTCTTTTTAAAAAATTCAGCTGCATAAGCATGAAGATAGATGTCACTTACTAGTATGAGAATAATTCCCTCAGGTGGAATTAACTGTTTTTTGTCTTCTACAGTATAATAATGCCAGTAGCTTTACTGAGCACCTACTTTATTCCACGGGATCTTGTCCCCATAGGAAGGTAGCTATCATGATTGCTACTTCACAAATGAGGAACATGATGTCCAAAGATATTAGATGTCTTGCCTTAGGCCATACAACTAGGAGGAGACAGAGATTTCAAACTCCAGTCTGATTACTGTTTCCACTACATCCTGCTGGGTGGAATTACCCACATCTTATATAAATTTGTTTCTTCCTCCATCTCGTAAGTATCAGTAACTCAGTGATTCTTCTTTATGCAGAGCTTCTGCAATGTGGATTTGTAGTGGTCTACTGTATAGCACTTATTTGAAAAATTCCTTGAAGAAGCAAACACCCAGACTCTCCTCATGTGTGGTATAGCATTCATTACTGAATAAATGAAACACCTTGGGCATTTTTAAAATCTCAGAGTTGAGAATTCAATTAAAACCCCAAACTTTTCAAAACAGCTTACTGTTTCAAGGATTTCCTTCTCTGTTATTTCTACCCTTCAACATTTTTCATTAAACATTATCACATAGAAGAAAACATAAAATTGTGCTATTAGAGATGCAACATTATGTTGAATGCTTAATGTTAGTGTAATGTTACCTGCTGGCATATTTCCCCTTTATTATTTGACTCTGGTGGTTTGGCTTTTAAACATAAAATGTGGTTCACTATTGCCATTCTCGAAAGTTTGTTGTTTGAAAGTATTTAAACAACAAAACTAAAGAAAAGATAATGGGACTTAGAGAAACAAGTATTTCATCCATATGACTGTCCATTCTGAAGAACATTAAGCATTATTTACCTCAAGAAAACTCATTGCCACTTGTTGGATCAGCACTGTACTAAAAGTATAAGGGGTCCAAGAATAATATAGAATAATATTTTTTCTCTTACAGTTTGCAATCTGGCTGGTAAGTCATACATACCCTCAGAGGCCAGTCATATTATATACTGCACATTTCAGTCCCAAAATAAATGATACAGACATTCAGTTGTATATCAGGGAACTGTGGGAGTGATGTGACCAGTAGTGGTGGAAGGATGTAGTCTAGGAAAAATTCTGGCTCACCTGATTCTTGAAAAATCGTGAAGGTATTGGACAAAAAAAGAACAGGAATGAATTGAGAGGCAAGAACATAGAATCGGCAGCATACTGCTGGGAACAGCAGATGAGTAAAACTGGGTCCTCTAAAGCCCTGAGTGAAACTGGGGAGAACAGTGCGTTTCGTTCTCTGTGACTTTTAACCAACCCTCCAGGGCCTGCTCTCTGGGTACCTTCCTCACTTTCTCTGGCCTATTTTGGAGGGCTGTGAAACTGTTAACTACGTTTTGCTATCTGGAATTCTTTAAGGTTAGGAGGTCCTTAAGATTCAAAATAAAGATTAGTGAAATTTCAAGCCAATGAGATACTAGTAACACTGTTTCAGTTCCCCTTTTATTTCGCAATACACATAAGGCCCAAAATACTATGATGGTTCCAGAAAGTTAAACTGGATTTTAGATATAACTTGTAGGTATTGTTAAACCACCAGAAGTTTGTGACTGATTTTGAATAGGATAATGTAGTCTTCCTGCTAATGAGATTTTTAAAAATAACAAAAGGGAATGCTCCAACTCATTTTTAAAAGTTCCCAACCTTGACATCATCTGTTTCTTGAAACATCTTGTAGCACCAAAATCCAAGCAAATATTTCTACATTCTGCCTTCCATTCCTTGCTCTATTTTCCTTCACCTATGTCCAACTTCAATGTGGAATTTCCACATTATTCTTTCCCAACTGACTTTCACACATAACACAACTATGATAAATAACTTTAACAAACATGAAGGTAGAGCTTCACGAAGCTTGGTCTTTCCCAATTTTGACAAGAAATAACAATTACGCGCCTCGTTCTTTCCTCTTTATCTACAAGTCCTTGGACACAATTCTTTGGACCCCAAGCAGACACTGTTTTGACGTGGCGAGAAGAGCGTTTAGTGAGACTTGGCCTTTCCAGTTTCTCTGCTTTTGGGTGAGAGAAGCCGAGAAAAGGTTACCAACGAAGACGCACGCGAAACTCACTCGCCCTGGGGTCCTGGGCGGGGGCCGCGGGCTCCACACCACGCCCGCCCCGCGCGCTCTGGCCGGAAGGGGGCGTGGGACGCCGCCGAGGGAGGGGCGCGCAGACGCGGCGGACCGGCCGGCCGGGGCGCGTCCGGCGGGGGGCGGGAGGCCGAGGCCGGGGCTGGGGGCGGGGCGTGGGGCCGCCGGCGCTCCGCGCCTACCCGCGCAAGCTCGGGCTACCCGCGCTCCCGCGCAGCGCCGGCCGGCTTCATGTGAGGCGCCGGGCCTCCGCCCCCTCCCTCCCCTTCCTTCCCTCCCTCCCTCCCTCCCATCCCGGCCTCCGCCTCCTCCGCCCGCGCCCGCTCCCCGGGGCCCCCTGCCCGGCCGGGCGCTGACCGCAGGGGCGGGGGTCCCCGCCGCCGCCGCCGCGTCTCACGCAGACTGCGTCTGGGGCAGCGGAGCCTCCGGGCGGCCATGGACTGGCCCCTGGTGGCGTCGGCGGAGGCGGAGGAGGAACTGGAGTGGTTAGTGGCGAGTCGCAGGAGGAAGGCCTGGGCCAAGTGCCGCGGCTCCTGGCAAGCGTCGGAGGCGGAGGACCTGTCCACAGAAGCGGCGACGCAGGACGAGGACGAGGACGGCGACGAGGACCTCCCTGGCGAGAAGCTGCCAGCGGCCGCAGGGAGAGGTCTGCGCGCCCGCGGAAGGGCTGGCGGGCGGGGAGTCCCTGCCCCCTGGGCCCCTGCTGCGAGTTCAGGAAGGTCCTCCCGGGCTTGTAGGCCCAGGGGAGAGGGGACACTTGTGACCTTTAAACGCGCGCGCCCCGCAAGGCGTTTCCAGTGTCAGCAGAGACGGCCTGGTGCCATCTCGTTTCCTTTCAGGAGGACACAGGCATGTGGCTTGGGCTGCATTTTGCCCCCAGTGGATTTTCCTCCAGGGGAATGTCCAGGGTGACTCCGCCGTCGGAGTACCCCTGAGGTCGCTAACAAGCTGACCCCTCTCTTTGCCCTGCAGGAAACGTGCCTAACGAGAAGATCGCGATATGGCTCAAGGACTGCCGGTGAGTTCTCGCGTTCGCCGCCCGTGTCCGGGAGGGAGGTCCATGCAGACGGGACTCCGGAGCGGAGGACCCGGGCCTCAGTCCTTATGCGTCCCATGGCTGTTGTAAGCTATAAACCGGAATGGAAACCGGCGGGTGGTTTCCTTTAAATGATTAGAAATGGTGGTCACTGACTATTTGGTGACTGTTGATTTTGCATTGGTTAAGACTTCAGCTCCCGCGCATGTTAGTTTAGCATCAGAAACTTAAAACATAATTGTGTTACGTTGTTAGGCTTGCCTTATTTTTACTCGAAGGGATTTTCACATTTCATGCAATATTTTTTTTTGTTTTTTTTGACATCTGTCCATTTGGCATTAAATCATTTCCCTTTCAAATGTGTTTTAGATGAGTTTAATTTACTAACTATACTAACTGGATTTTCATTTTATTTTCTTTGTGCCTTAATTTTGTTTGGAGAGCTAGTAAAAGTACCTAACTTTTCATGTAGTGTACTTTTTGTATGGGCATTTGTCATATGGCACTGGAATTCACAGAAGGGAAATAGAGCTTTGCAGGCATCCATACTGCATATATCTGTTTAATTACATGCTCTGCAACTGGTACAAATATGTTTTATAAAGTACAGAGGAGATGAATCATATTGCAAGTAAATCTTACAATAAAATATGCTTGTTTTGTACTTAATTTTTTTCTGATTTTTTTTTGCTACATGTAAAATCTTGTACAAAGAATGTTGCTTTTTAGCTTTTGTTAAGGTGCTTGCTTCTGTGCATATATTTGTCATCTCAATTTCGGCTTCTCCTTGTAATCTTTTGTTAAGGTACCAGAGTTAGGAAAGTTTTTTGGGGGAAGGAGTAGGGATTCTCATTATGTGCCAGTTTATTTTTCTTCCCGAAACACACATAAAATTCTGCTCACTAATCTATTGATGTCCTGTTTTGATGAATTGCCCAGAGCCTTACCAAACACTCTTCACTACAGATCTTAACTTAACCTTTATTGGGAGTGTCATACACCCTTTGAGACAGGATGAAATATATGGACGTTCTTCTAAAGATGAACAAAAAAAGGTTTAAGAGCAAAAGAATTGCATTGTGTTGTGTGATGTATAGGAGTTAAATTGTTTAAGAGAGCATAACAAATACACAGTGAGTAAGTGCATCTTTTGAGATAAATGTAGTAGGGTAACATTATCATTCACCAGGCACATCATCTCTGAAATTTCCAGAAATTTTGTTGCTAATCTTGATTTAAGCAGGCAGATTCTATAGACTGTGGCTCTTTCCTTCATAGGTTTCCTTCATAGGATCCCTTCTTGTTCCCTACAGTTGCACCTATTCTGTACAAAAGGGGCATTCATTGTACCAGGGAAAGCTAGAAGGAATAGCCTTTTAATGTTTACTGTGTTATCACAGATTTATTTCACTGCTAGGATATATGCAACTATTTTTTTTCCTATAACAATTTAGGATCTTCCCAGAGTTGGGCATGTATCTACTCTGTATATAATTATGTACAAATGATCTGAAGACAGCATTTTTGCTCTATATATTCTCAAATATTTTTTTCTTACTGCTGTCCATATCCTGAAAAAAGATACTATGTTGTCTTTACGTAAAAGGAGTCTTTATTTTGATAATCATTTTTTTGCCTAAGTGGAGACAAATTGCTTGAATTAGCATCTAAGAAGGGATAGTTTTTGATAGAATTTGGAAAAGAGCACTTATAAGAGCTAGAGACTTGTTTTTGAAGGAGAATGCTAGTTGAATTCTGCTTCTTTGCCATTTTTTGGAAGTGCACAAACCAGTAGAGACATCTTTAGGAGTAATTCAGTGTTTTGTTGTTACTAAAAAACAGCCGTCAGGGAAGAAGGGCTTTTTAAAGGCATAAATTAGAGTTTTATTAAAATGTATGCAAAAGTATCTCAAAGGTTTTATTAATATTTTATGGTAGTGGCTTGTGGTTTTTTTACATTTCAAAAGCACTAATTTTCAAAGAACTGCCATTTCTTACATATTTGCTTGCAGAAAGTTTAACATTTAATTCATATTTCAGTATTTCTTTGAAACTGATATTGTCATGATCCCATTTTGGATGTGAATTTGTAACATGATGAAAGGTTTCTATCACAATAGAACTTTCAAAATAAAAGTCTGTTTCTAAGTATTAACTTAGTTTTGAGAAAGAAGTGGAAAACATTTTTTTGCTTAAATAAAGATTTCTAAGTTATCTGTGTTTGAACTACAAGAATTGAAAGACCTTTAGGAATGGTTAGTTCTTAAGGTTGATTTTCAAATTGAGTTTTTAGTGATTTTATTTTCAGAGTTAAATGAACAATATATATATTTTTAATTTAAAGGCAGAGGTAAATCTTAAGCTTTTCAATTTATACCAAAAAAGATAGTAGTTGGGGTAAGGGAGGTGCTGAGTGGTGCTCTGAAATGCTAGTGATTTAACAAATGAGGTTTAAGAAAACTGTTGAGCCTTATTTCTAACTAGACTCTGACTTTTTAATTTTATTAATGTAAAGATTGTTTTCTATTAATTCTGTTACCTGTTTCTAGGGAAGAGATTGAGGGGAGCAGACATTTTCTTAATGCCTATTGTCATTCTGCTTTTCTTTCTCTGTTTCTGTAAGAAAATGCCAGTTCCTATCTTTGTAATTACAATTCTTCCTCTTAGTTGCTGGCAGATCAGACATGTGATTAAATCATTTCTGGTGAAATGACTTGATGATTGGTATTTGCTTAGTAGGATATTACTTATGTAATCCACTCGCATTCCTGATGTATTTTTGGAGGAGAGTTAAACTGATTAGAAGCTTGCTTAGCTATAACATTTTAAGTATAAGGTTGTGCAGTGACAGCCCTCCAGACAACAAGACTAAAGTTTATATGTTTATGTGATTTCAGTACCCCTTTGGGAGCCTCACTGGATGAGCAAAGCAGTAATACACTCAAGGGTAAGAGAAAGTTGCCTTTCTAAATCTTACATTCTTTATGATGGTCCTACTTTATTTGTCCTCTGAGACTGTAGATGTATTTGTCCTCTGAGTAAGACTATAATATATATATGTATTATAAAAGTGATGTTTGTATATACAAAGTATGCAGTTCTGAAATAAAAGCCAAAAGGGACGAATCTTGTCAGAAATCATAAGCAATGGATAGTTTAAGCAAATTAACAAACCTTTCTACAATGTAAAACTCATATTTTTATTGTCCAGTTAGGTATTATAAAGACTAATCAAGTATAGAAATATATGTAAACATACGGGAAGTATATATTGAGTGAACTAGGTCAGCTTGAGTGCAGCATTTCTTTGCTTACATTAAATGAAATTGCCACACCTGAAATTTTACCACCTGTGCACAACAGCATTCCAAAGTTCAAAGTGCAACAAGAATATGCAGCTAGTGGCAAAGCATATAAAAATGTTTATAGTAAAGAAAATCTAGCTTGAGCTCCTTACTTAAAATAGGGGGAGTAAAAGGAGTGCTTGCTCTGGGATCTGATTTTTGCATGAAACTCTTGGGTAAGATGTTATCTGATTGAATATCTTCAGAAGCATAATAAGTATAAGATAGCCTGTATGTAGATCGGGGCTTCTAACAACTTGGCTGCAAATCATGGTTTCTTTAAAATAAAGCAAAAGCTTATACATGCTTCTTGAAATTATGTAATCAGGATAATTCACGAGTACATTCAGGTCTGAAACACTTTACTCTGCCTTATTTTGCTTGATCAATTTGTTTCAACTAAAACAGTGATTTTATATGGTGGTCAGGAAGAACAGAACACCAGGATGAATCTTAGAATGTTTCTTTCAGGTGTGCTTGTGAGAAATGGAGGAAGTTTTGAAGATGATTTGTCATTGGGAGCTGAAGGTACCTATGTGTGTGGAAGAATGGTTCATATGGTTTTAAAATTCAAAGTCAAGTGGCTTCAGGTTTACAATTCTCAAAGCTAAATTTAAAGATCCTAAAAATGGCTCAGACACATTTTACAGAACCTTTTTTATGTTAATAACCTTGTCAGAACCTGTAGGGTACTTGTAGGAACTGCTCTGAAAACCATTGTGATATGTTTATATGTGTTCCTTGGACTTATGTGCTTAAAGGAACTCTTTGGGGGACAAACAATAGTGATATAACTGAGAGAATTGTCCCATGGAAGGAAGGATGCTTAAATATTGAGAAAACTAAATGAAGCTTATTTTTTAGTATGAGGTAGCCTTGGTGTCAGACTTATAGCTGCAGTTTGTCTTTCTCCTTGCATTCAGGTGTCTCCTGTCTTTCCTCCTTCCTCTCTTTCTAGATTTTTAGAACATTAAAGGGCAAATAGAAAATAGTTACTAGAATTTAATTCAAAGTTATTATGCTGATGTCTATTGTAGACTGCATAAGCATTTTAAAAGTGTATTGTGCTGTGTTTAAATTTGCACAGGTTATGTCATCCTTTCCTGTGGATTCATAATGCTTTCCACAATGTGAAATTTATGATTTTTTATTATTTTATTATTTCAATGGTATTTTAAGATTCTTGGTAGCTATGCAGTTGGTTTGTTAATGTGTGCTTTTTATAAAAATAAAAGGGTTCCATTTAATCTTATTAAATTTTAAGTGTTTGAATAGTTAATTTATCCACTGAATTTGATATCCTTGATCTTTTGCTGTTTTCAGTCTGAATTTAGATTACTTATTACTTACTTAGAACCTTATAACATTGAAAACTCTAGAATATATGAATATATTAGATTTTATTCTGTTAATATGCTTTCAAGGAATAAATTGTATGAAGAACTTGCATGTATTGCTTCCCAGTCAATATAATTGAACATGTTGTCAACCCTTATTAAAATGTATTTCAGTATTACTCTAAATAGCACTTTTGATATTTGCTTTAGTAGTTTCATAATACAGAATTTTTTTTTAATACTTTATTTGTTTAGAATTTAGGTTCCCAGAAAAATTGAGGGGAAGATAAAAGGATTTCACTTGTACTCCTTGCCCCTATGTATGCGTAGCCTCCCCTATTATCAATATCCCCCACCAGAATGGTGCATTAGTTACAGTTGATGCATCTACAGTGAGGCATCACGATTACCCCAAAGCCCATAGTTCACATTGAGGTTTAATCTTGGTCTTGTACATTCTGTTTGGGAAATGTATAATGACATGTATCCATCATTATGATATCATATAAGGTAGTTTCACTGCCCTAAAAGTCCTCTGTGCTCTGTTCATTGACACTGAATGATTTTATTGGAAGCATAACCTAAAAGGGAGTCCCAGAGAAGAGTGGATTTGTTATGCTATTTTACTGAAAATTATGTCATGATTATTTTCATTCATTCAGTAAATATTTACTGGGTGCTATGTGTTAGGCAAGTTTTTGGTGGATGTACAAAGAAACATAAGAAATTGTCATGACTTTGCAGATCAGAAATGAAAAAAATTGGTATGGTGAAATAGAAATGTTTGTAATATCTTTGACTGAAAATAGAGTAAATTTAACTCACTCTAAACTTGACATTAACAATATTTATCTGTAGAATTTGTAAGTACGATAAAGTTGAAAGGCAATTTTTAAACGGAAACTTAAGTTGAAATGAGTAGCAATTTTCAAAGTACATGAATGAAAAAATAGGTTGTAACTCGAGTAAATTTTCAACCTTAAAAAAATCTCATTAGAAATTGATGTATACTATTGCCATGCTTCCTTAATGCTATCATGTTTTTGCTCTTGTTATTGTTTAACACCTTTTAAATTTAATAACTAGAACCACATGTGCCATTTATTTTCTTCTTATTTCTAAACTGATAAATAAATTTAATTGGTTATCTTTATGACTTTTTGTTTTAAACATTCAGTTGAAGTGTAGGTACTTTCACAGTGCTAACAAAAACAAAACACCCAAGCTATAGGTTTTGTTTTTTATCAGTCTGTATAGTACTCGTAATTCTGCAGATTTAATGAACCAAGACAAGAATTTGGCATATTAGACATTCAGCTATAATATTGTGGCTGATTTGCTTTCTTGGTGATTGTGTCATAAAAGTTACTGTCATACTAACAGCCGTGCTCCGCATTTATTCTTTTCATCTGTAGCCAATCAACTCCATGACACTGATGCACAAATTGAAAACTGGTAGGTAGCTGTTTTTGTTCTATTCCTTTTGAAAATATAGAACACTTATGAAAATAAGGTTTTATATAACGTGATTTTGTTTATAGCAATAATATGTTGGCCAAAGAGAGAAGACTACAGTTTCATCAGAAAGGGAGAAGTATGAATTCCACTGGATCTGGGAAGAGTAGTGGGACAGTCTCAAGGTAACTTACTTTGGAATTATGCTATAATTACATAGTGTTATTGATGACCTACTCAATACTTTTTAAGTCTTGGATTTGGCTTGGTAGTATGAAATCAAAGGAATCCAAAGTGTTTCATGGATCAGCATAACTGATAGGAGCTTTTCTTTAAAAATTTAAGATTAAATAGAAAGTAACAAGTATGTATGTAATGCTGCTAGAATCCATTAATGAATATTTTGTGGCCTAGCAACAACTTGAAAGAGGAATGCCATAGTGGAACAACTTCTACTTCCAAAAGTCTCCATTCCTTTTAGGGTCTTGAGGTACTTTGACATAAAAATCAGAAAAAAAAAACTTTCCAATTTAAAACTTGATATTTAAGCATTGGTTTATTTTAACATATTTAATCAAACACATTTAAACTATATATTATAGTAAGTAGATACATGTGCCTGTGGAACCAGTTTAAAATGTTACATAGATTATTATATTGGAATCTGAGCATTTTCTTTGAAACATTGATAATTCCTTCTGTTCAGGTTCCATCTCTAACATTCCTGTATTCCTCAGTGAGTCTCAAAAAGCTTGCATGATCACCTATATGAGACAGGGACAATAAATGTTTAATTTCTGGTAGAATTAGAGCAAGAAAATGCCTTTGTGTAGCCCATTTCTCCTTACCTTACTCCTCCCACTTTCTGAGTGGGAGTGGAGAAAGGTGCAAAGTAGACTCTTCCTCACTTTTCTGAGATCAGGCTATTTACCTTTACTGCCTCTGCTAGGACTGGTAAAATAGCAGAGAAGCTCACGTTCTGTGGAATGTTCCTTGGTACCAAAGTTCTGCCAACTTTCTAGTGTATTTTCCTTTTTCATTTCTTCCTTAATCTATTCCTCATTCTCCCTCACCAGTTATCTAATTATTTTAGCTGCTTTACTGGGACTCTAAAATGACAAAAAAAATAAGGTGAGAAATCACTTAGAGATTCTCTTACTATATGTCTTAGTGGTTGGCTCTTTCGCCAAATACTAACAGCTTTAGCAAATGGACCCCTTATAAGGGTTAAGTATCACATTTAGTACACAGTATATAAACATGCTGAAGTAAATAATGATTTAAAGAGCAGAAGCTGCAGAAAAAAGATTTTATCACAGGAAAGCAAGAATATGAATTCATTTATAATGTGATGTGGACTATAAACTTTTTTCATATCTTGATTTTTATTTTAATTTTTTGTAGTGTTTCAGAGTTGTTGGAACTTTATGAGGAAGATCCTGAAGAAATTCTTTATAATCTTGGATTTGGACGAGATGAACCAGATATTGCTTCTAAAATCCCCTCCAGATTTTTTAATTCATCATCATTTGCCAGAGGGATAGATATTAAAGTATTTTTGAGTGCTCAGATGCAACGGATGGAAGTAGAAAACCCAAATTATGCTTTAACAAGTAAGGTTTTTAAATGTTAGTATATTATTTTTAAAATTGTATAGTATCCACAGAAAAATGTTCTTATTTTTTAAAACTCTACTAATTTCTAGGAATAGCATTGGAAATTTAATTATTGAAGTTGTTTAACCTAATAGCTGTTTTATTCTGAATTTTTATTATTCTGTTCTTCCCTGTGCTTCCTATTCTACTGATTTATAGAACATTATACTTAAACTTACCTCCAGATTGCTTTTGGTCGAAAGGGAAAGAAGTAGGGGAGGAGCATTTTTACTGTCAAATGAGGTCAGTCCATTTTAGGCACTTTTCTATAAATATAAAATAGCATGGCTGATTTGATCATTTGTATTCATATTATATCTTTACTTGTTTTTCTGTGTTGACCAAAGTTCCAAAAATGGGGTCCGTAGTTGTTTCTTGAATCAGCAAGATCTATAATCTACTCCTCCCACAAATTAGGTATATAATACATACTTAAGTACATTTTCTTCAATGAACATTTGAGTTCTTAGCAGAGTCCACAGACCTAAAAACAAAATCACAGCTGAAGGTCAATAGCTAGTCTTTTCTCTTTTGTTCAGTGTTGTCATGCTGTATGCTTCTTTTCTGGTTTTTTAAAATGTAAATTATAGTGCTTAGATAAGTGAAAAATCTTCTTCTTCCCCAGTAAATGCAGAGGAATTTTAAGGGTTAGAAAAGGAAAAAAGTCTGGTTTCATGATTTTAGTGCTCTAAATAGTTTGTGGAATTCTGAACAAGGGTAATAGTTTAATGTGTGTGTGTGTGTGTGCATATACACATATATAAGCAAAATGTATATAATTTAATATTTTCCTTTTGTAGGCCGATTTCGTCAAATTGAAGTGCTTACTACTGTGGCCAATGCATTTTCTTCTTTATATTCCCAAGTGTCTGGGACTCCCCTGCAGAGAATTGGAAGTATGTCCTCAGTGACCTCTAACAAGGAGACAGACACACCTCCACCTTTAACCCGAAGTAACACTGCAAATCGTTTAATGAAAACACTGTCAAAACTAAATTTATGTGTTGATAAAACAGAGAAAGGAGAAGGTAGTAGCCCGTCCCCAGCAACTGAAAAAGGAAAGATTCTGAATGTTTCAGTGATCGAAGAAAGTGGCAATAAAAATGATCAAAAGTCTCAAAAAAGTGTAAAGAAGAAAGAGTCATCTTCCATGTTGGCTACAGTTAAAGAAGAAGTACCAGGTAGTTCAGCAGTTGTTACAGAGAATGCTGACATTGATAGACTTTTTGATAAAGCAAACAGTAGTTTTAACCAAGAAACTGAAAGTGAGCAAGGTAAAGAAACTCGAAGTCATGAGAATAAACTGGGTAAGAAATCTGGTATTACAGAATCTGATTTAGGTAGTGATTTCAACATGTCCAGACCCTGTGAGCTGGAAAATAGCAACGAGCTGAAAAGTGTCCATATGTCCACACCTGAAAAAGAGCCATGTGCACCACTGACGCTCCCATCCATAAGAAATATAATGGCACAGCAGAAGGACTCCTTTGAAATGGAAGAGGTAGGTGAAAAATTACTAAGACCTGTTGCAAAGAGTAAATTAGGAAAGTAAAGTGCCAGAAAATGTTTATAAAATGAAAGATGGCTAATAGATTTCTACTAGAAAAAGATCATCCTAATTTTGACTTCCTAGATTTTTTGTTCTGTTTCACAAAGCAAGAAGTGGTCGTAGGACTATCCCTTGTCAAGGTAATGGGACAGTTCATCAGCTCCTCTAGAGCTGTCATCTGCTGATAGAAACTTTAACCCAGTTTTGATGTCCTGAGAAAGCCCTAAGAGAATATTCAAATTTAAGTCAATATTCCTAATAATTAAAAATACAGATTCTAAAGTCAAATGGGTTTGAGTTCTGTCTCTGCCACTGAATTGTTATGTGCCTTTAGGCAAGCTGTTCTTAAAGTATCTCAGTGGAAAGGGTAAGTGAAGGAGGCTTTGAAAACAGGTTTTGGCATGGGACTGGAAAGAACATGAATATACTATGTTCTTGAAGGGGATGGTAGGAAACCTTAAGGAAGAAGAGTTGAAAGGCCACTGCATAGAATTGCTGCAAGCCCAGAAGACCAGCATTGGGTTACTTTTTATTATTACCTAGTGATATTCCTGTGTGTACACAAACTTTGAATTGGATAAGATAAAAGAGATTTATTTTGATGAAGTTCAGCTAAAACTGCTTTTAAATAGAACTGATATTTATGCATTGGAACTATATAGCTTGGGGTAGGAAACAGAAGTTTATCAAGCATCTGTCTTGTGGCAGACCTTGTAACCAGGCTCTTGATGTACTTTTCTCTCTCAGTCTGTGAGGCAGGCAGTGGTAGTCTCATTTTGCATGTGAGGAAACTGAGGCATATATGTACTTCTGAGGAGTTGTGGCTATTAATTATATAGTGTGCAATTCTTTTTTAAATTTGTTACAAAATAGTTTTAGTAATAATAGCTCCCAATAGTTTTAAGAATCACATGCCTTTATTTTAGGGAATTAGAAAACAGGATAAATTAATTTTCCTCACAAATATCCACTTAGCTGAATATGTATCTCACATTAGTGAAGATTTTTCATTTATTGCAAAATTTGATTCCTGTTACAGCTATTTACTGTTTCTTCATCTTTGAATGTATCTTTTAATACTTCTAACTAAAAAGTGAAATAAAAGGAGCAGGAGCAAATCTTTGAAATATTTTACAGTGTTTGTAAACTTCCTTTTCCCTTATTTCTCTATATGTTTTAATATTTATCCTATTTTATTCCTAATATAATTTATTTCTCATAATGAGTCTAGGAAATTATGACTGCTTTAATTAAAATTCCTTTTTTCTATTTTACTATTTGATTCCTTTTTGACTATGTTTTGATCTAACTTGTTCTACCTTTCAAGTGTAACTTCTTTTCTTCCCCCTCTTCTATGACAATTAGATAAGAATTTCCTTGTTTTAATATAATAGAGTATAAAAATTTAAGCAGATTTATGTTAGATCAGTGACTCAGATGAGAAGACATTCTGATTATGTTGCTTTTTAATTTCTAGAATTCATAAATCCTAAGATATAATTTGAAAAAATTTTCTTGGTAGTATACACAAAAGGTCTTTAAAACTTCAGAAAAAATGGCTAGTTAGATGCACCTTGGTGGCAAGTTAATATTTAATGGTAGACTGATTGTTTTTGGCTCCCTCTACTGGCAAAAGCAGTTAATAAATGAAATATCAGGAAAGTAATGTGTGTGACATTGAAATTATCATTTTCTTGAAGTATAGGGTAGCAGGTATTAGTGGTTGAAGAATAATGGAAGAGTTTTGTTTTCGAAAAAAAGAGTATGTGGTCAACTATAGCTGCATTGTAAATATGAGGAATTTTTAGGATAATGAATTCTTGTTCTTTAGATATATTTAAAACATGGATAAAACCCTCCTAGAATTATTTTTATGCCTTTGGGAACTTTAGAGAACATGTAGAACAATGGATAAAAAAGGGAAATAATGTTTTTCTTTAATTTCCTCTTCTCCCAAGCATGATTTGAATCATTGACAAGTGAAGAAAACAATCTTAACTGAAGCAAACTTTTAGATCCCATTCAAAGTAGGTTGTTACTGTTTTCTTTTGGACTCCTTTCCCTTGAGGTTTTGATTCCTACTGGGAACTTTCTTCCTGTAATAACAGTGAATAAATGTGAGATAGAGCACACTCCCTCCCTCTCCCTCTCAGTAAACCAGTTCTCAAACAGATTAACTGAATGCCACCTTCTTTGTGTAAGAGAAAATGTTGCGGACATGGCTCTGTGCATGAAGCTGCTTAATTTCTCTGAGGCAGAAGGTAAGATATGACAGTCAGCATGAGCAAAGAGAGAAAATTTAAATGTAAAGAGTTACATAGATGGCAAGACAGACCTAGGCCTTTGAGAATGAAAGTAACAATTTCTTACGTTAAGAAAAAGAAAATAAAAGGCCAATTAAAAGTAAGTTTGCTTTATAAAAAATGTTTTGTAGACTATTAAAAACATTCCAGTGTGTCTAAAAGTTGTAAAATCCTTCTCCTGAGTTTTCTAATTCTTACTGACTTTCCTAGGTAATTCTTGTGTTCTTCTTGAAATACTTTATTTTGAATGAATACATCATGATAACTCTCTAGAGCTATAGATTAGTAGTATGCTGATTCACAGTTAAACCAAAGTGATCCTACTCAATCAGCAATTGTTCATCTTTTAGGTATAAAAGAAAATTCCTCATACTTAAATGTTAGAGGAAGGAGAACCTTTATCTGTATGTTGCTATAAATAGGTTGTTCTGTGTCTTCTAACTCTATAAATGTACTTATATTCAAATATAGATATTATTGGAAATACACATAATTATTTAAGCTGCTGAAGTTTTGTGTTTTAAACTTGTTTTCACTAATGTATCTCAGCTTATTTTTAGCCATTAAATTTCAGGATTCTTTTCTATTTATTGGCCTGAGTTAATCCTAAATCAATGAGATACTTGACAGATAGTTAAGCTGTTCCTTTGGCCTCTCAAATTTAACTGTTATATTGTGTCTGCATTAGAATATGAACTCTAACATGACACATGCATTGATGTCTGTTATTTCAAAGCCCAGTTAACCACTTAGTTTTGTTGTTTGATATTTATCTGAAAGACCTAATTACTTCTTTAAAAAACATATTTACCCGACAGTAGAAAAGTAAACCTTGTGTGTGTGTGTGTGTGTGTGTGTGTGTGTGTGTGTGTGTGTATGTGTACAACTTGCCAGGTTTTTTTAAGATGAAAATTTGCAGTAAATAATAGAATCATAAAGTAGCACACAGAAAGAGATTTTTCAATTCATTTTCCAGGTTTCTCCCTTTGCAGATGAGGAAACGTCCCCCTCCCCTCCCCAATATACTTGACAACAGTGTTCCTTCATCATCTTTCTGAGGGATGTACCATTTCCTCTGGTATCAGTGCCTTTATTGGAAGGTAGTATCAAGGGTGTCAGTGTAGGGAGTGCCTGGAGGATAGCAGAGAGAGTGGTTATAAATTTTACCACTTCATTGTTTCAAAATACTTAAAAATCACATTTGATCATCCTAAAGACCTGTGAGGTAGGAGTGTCAGTCATTATTTTTCAGTTAAGAAAACTGAGGTAATTATCACAGATAATTCAGATAGTTATCTGAGGCCACTGAACCAGTAAATAGCATGATTAAAACTTGAATTCAGGACTTTGTACAAACCTGCTACTATTGACTACACCATACGACTTGATAAAAGTCAGAATGCTTGATAGGGTCAGATACTGGGCAAGAACGCCACTTGATGCACAGCCCCATACTTGGAAAAATAATGCTTTCCTTTGAAATTTTTTGAGATGTCATTAAAAATTATAACTTATGAATCTCCAGTTCTTTAAATTTTCTTTTTTAAAAAGCTGCTATACAGGTCTCTTTAAACCTTAAAGGAAGGGTTATTTGAGTTAGGACATTCCACATAACTGCTGCTCTGTAGAACACAGTGCAGTAGTATTGTGCCTGGAAGATGTATCTTAGTCAAGATAAATATAAGATTTTAAAAAAACAAAGTATGTACCTAACATAGCAGGACTTTTATTTCAAAAAGTATAGTCTTTATTTTATTAAAACATTTAAAAATGAAATAACTCAATGTGTGGTTTACTCTAAAGTTGCTTTCATACAATTTTAAATCCCCAAATACTGAGACCAGTGTTTTTATCATTTTGATTTGATGGGTTTTTTGTTTTTGTAATTTTTATTATGAAAACTTTCTAACTTCCCTAAAGAGTAGAGAAAAATAGTGTAATGACCACCCATTATCCATTCAATTCAGTTACCAATATTTAGCTATAGTTAATTTAATGAAAGGCACAGCCTGTAGCAAATGACCGGAATCCTACTGAGAATTTGAAACCATTGAATAGAGGATCTCTTGCTATGTAAGTTGTTTCATAATTTTCTGTGGTGTATATACCCCATCTTGAATTTGACTGCTCTTCTTTCCATAACTGTGACCAATACTAAAACATAATAAGCTATGAAATTCAACCATTATCACTAGCATGTCTGTTTCTGTCTTCAACAAGTGATTGATGATTTTGCTAAGTAAGTGGGAAGAAGGATCCTGACTTAAGTAGTTTTATTAGTAAATTATGACTCAGCAAAAAAAGAGCCTTCCTTTCAATTAATTAGAGCTTGCAATTGTAATTTGTAATAATGGATGGAAGGAGCAGGGGTTTTTTTTTTTGCTATAGAGTAGCATCTTTTTTTAAGTACAAAACCAAACTCTACATTTTCTTATATTCAGGTACATACAATAAAATCCACAAATATTAGCATACAGGTCAATGAATTCTGACATGTGTATATACTCGTGTAACCATTGCCCAGATTAAGATACCAGGCATTCTCACTAATGTTTCTCCCCTTCACCTGTTCCCTCACCCTCCTCCCCGATGGCAACCACCAGTCTGTTCTCTGTGTCTAAGCAAAACCAAACTCTTAATCTCTCCTCTAAAACTTGAACTTCGTACAGCCCTCCTTAAGGCAGTAAATGGCAACTTCATTTTTGTTTGCTCAGAGTAAAAATCTTGGAGTCCTCTTTGACTCCTCCCTATAGAGTAGCATCTTGAAGACTAGTATATGAGAATACATTTTCATTTAAGTCATGTTATTTTGTGACTTACAGTATAACTCCAAGGAATAGAATATGTGATAAATCTCCATTTAAAAATGAGAGAGTATAATTTAGTATATCATAACATTGTGCCTAAGCTTTCTGTCCCACTTTTTTGGTATGTTTGATATTTACTTTACAGAAAACTTTGAATTAGGCCAAGCCTGAATAGAGACTAATAATAGAGCTTTTGTTGAATATAAAAGAAGTTCATTTTGTTTCCTTGCACACAGAACAATGGTTTTCCTGTTGAATTTATGTCTGCTGCTTTGAAGAATACATTATAATTTTTCAGTAATAACGAAGAATAGTAGAAACTATTTTATACCTGATTAATAGGTGATGATTTTAAATGACCAGTGTGCTTTCAGTTTTCAAAAGACTTGCAAACTTGGATTCATGGAACTGTGTAGAACATCACCATCAGGTCAATTTTTAAACTGGGTAGTAATAACTTTAACCTGTGGGCTTTTTTTCATGTTGGTCATTCACTCTTCTTCTATGGAATATTTATTTTTTATTGTATTCATAGCTCAAAACTACCAGGTTTTTACCAAAAATCTGCTGTTTGCTCTCTGATTTGTTCAAGGTTGAAAATCCATGTTTGGACTAGTTTGCCCACTTTACTTGGATGTTGTTAGTTATTTTAAGTACAGTCATTACAGGGTAGAGTGTTGGGAGTAGTATCCCATCCACTCCCTGCAAATGTTTATAGAGTTCATTATGTTAGAGAAGAGTTTGGGGCCTTTGGTGTGATAATAAAGAATCTCAAAATTACTAATTTATGTAGTTGTGCAGCTGAGGGAAAAAGACAGCTTTTATTTGTTTGATTCCTTGTGAACATATTTTCAGAGGATTTATGGTTAAGATCTTTCAACATTTTAGTTCTGTAATGAAACCAGCTTTTCTGCTTACAACTTCCAAGTTGTGTCTTAACAGTTATCTTAGAACAAAACAGTCTTACACACGGGCAGTTTTTGATACCTGAAAATGTGTGGGATTGTATAATATTTTGTAATGGGAGCACAATGTACCATTTTTCAAAGATGGAAGACTTGTAATTGCTTCAACTGTGTGTCACACATGGTTTGCTCCTGTGAGTGTGTTAGCATTTCTCCTAGGATTGACCTTACACTTTGAAGTTTAAAGTTTAGAGAAGAATGTTTTCCTATGGATCTATTTTTCATTTAATAGCAACTTTTTTTTAATGAAGTAGTTTTTACATGCAGTCATTTTTCTTTGCCAGCTATAAACTTGCAGCCCTGCTGTTAAGTGGAAAATAGATCATAAAATTGAGATTTGGGGCATTCTGACAATTTTGAGATGTCTTGCAATATTTGCCTATATAATGCATTAATACCCTTTTAGTTAGGTTGATTAGTAAATGAGCGTCAAGACGTATTCTTTGGCAAAGATTTTTCAAGTTTTAACTAAAAACTCTTTAGGTTCAAAGTACGGAGGGTGAAGCTCCTCATGTTCCAGCCGCTTACCAGCTAGGTCTTACCAAGTCAAAGCGAGGTAAGTAGACCAATATCTACTAGTTCCCAAGCACATTACCAAAGTGTCACCAGTGATTTGGAAAGTGGTTTTATGTATTAGTATTTGTAGTACTTACAAGTGTAAAAAGATTAAGAAAGCAGGTAGGCAACTACATGATGGTTAGGTTATAGATTTTTTTCTATCTTCCTGAAGGCTTTTGTGCTCATAAAGTAATTTTAGTTTGTTTATCCTGTAATGATGTCATTATTCAATTCTGTGTACTCTAAATATTTTTCAGTTTTGCGTAAGGGCTAGATGGGAAATGATTGAGCAATGGATTCAGGCCTACTTTTTATATGGCTATGTTTGAAAATACATACTTGTATTATCCACTCCTAGGTTTTCAATGTTTAAATATGGTTCCTAGGTATAATACATGAATATGCCTCTGGCAAACAATACCAATTTCTCAGCAGTAAGCTAGTTCAATTTAAACTATGGATCAAAGGTGAGTGGCAGGAGATATAGTTCTTCTCTTGAATTATTAATTATTGACCAAAGATCCTTTGAATCATTTCTTTCACTTTTAATTTGCAACAAGAAAAAAAAAGTGTTATTGATCTGTAAAGTCACAAGTTTTAGAGACTGAGAGAAAAGGAGAGAGAGGCAGTAAAGAAGTTAAAATGACCACTGACGGTAGGACTGTTTATTTTTAAAACTTTACACATGCTGAACCACCATGGTTTTTTTTAAACAAAGATTCATATGTATAGTCCTAGAATAAGAAATGACTTGTGAATTCTCTCCTGATCTGTAAAATGACTTCATAAGAGACAATGCGCATCTAATTTTTCTTTTACTGGAGTATGGTACTAAGAATAAGAGCTCTGCTCTCACTAGGCCACTGCAGGTCTGGTCAGACACAAAATGAACTTTCCTGTTTAGTTTTCTTCCCCTTGCAGGTAACATATACATATAAATATATGTATATGTTTCTGAGCTGTGTTGCAGAGTTCACAGCCATCTTTGCATTGGATAGGTGGGCAGGGGATAAAAAGAGTATAATTACTTTAAGATCTTTCAAGAGCAAGCTCCCTGTAGTGGGAAAGATGGAATGTAGTTTGTATTCACAACTGGATTTCTTTCTTTTAGCAATATGGGGTCTCTTATTTCTGGTGGCCTAGGTAAATATGTTTACATTCTTATGAATCACATTTGCAAATTCTCAGTAGAATGTTTTTGTGTGTGCCTGTGGGAGAGAGAACAAGTGTTTTAGTTATTTTTGAAGGTAGCCTAATCGTATTTAGATAATGTGTATGCAAGTATCAGATTAGTCATAATTGCAGAATTAGAATCAATAGTAATACATTCATTTCATAAGTTTGGTGGAAATGCTTAGAATGCATGTATAAAAATACTTTGCACTTTAGTAATAAGACTTTTGAAGGTACAATGAGCTTAATCTCAAATCCTGTCCAGCCCAGAGAGATTTAGTGACTCAACTCATGTCACAATTAACATTCAGTAGAATGTGAGAGCAGTCCAACATTTTCTTTATTACAGAAGGCAAATGGCATTTTCTTTATTCTAGCAGAGTGTACAAGTGTTCTGTTTATGATACTGGACAAATAAAATTTCCATATTTTGTTTTGTTCTCCAATGTTTGCTCTAACTTCTTAATTAGAAATAATGTAACTTCAGTTAGGACAGAGGTCTAATTCTTTGGTTCCACCTTTTTCTGTGGAGAACTGTGCTTTTTTGTGAAACTGAAATGGCTGCCTAAAGAAACTAGATTGTGATCTGCAGTTTACAGAATAGTTTAATCTACAGCTTTATTTCCTGAGGTAACCCTGCGAGGTTGAGGTAGATAGGAGAATTACTGTTCCATCTGCAGAGGAGAGAAGTTACTGCTTATGGAGATAAAACCTAGTACTTGAACCCAGGCCTCCTTATTCTTGCCACTGCCTGACACCTGCTTTGAAGCTGAAGCAGTTTACAGTCTACCCCATCCTGTGTGAACTCAAGTGGGGCTCACCACTGAGAGGTTAACTCAGCGCAGACTGTACTCCATTGCAGATAAACTCATTAGCAAAGAGAACCTGAGTGGAGCTGGCCACTTGGGCTCTGCTGAGCTATCTGGCAATTGCCCTTTGTCCAGCCAGGTAGACAATTATACTTCTAAATCATTTAAGGAGACTGCTTAATTCTGTTGTTGCTTTAAGGAAGTCGTTATCATTGATTCATTCAGCAAACATTTTTATTGTTAGCTTGTTCTGGTACAGTGAAGAGTAAATGAGGTTCCTTTCTTTAGAAGATTCATAATCTAGTAAAAAAAGGTTAATAATATAGTAAAAAAAGTATGCAAATGTAATGGTGATAAATGCTATGACATAAGATGTTAAGCAAACACACAATTATGGTGTGTTATGACATAAGATGTTAATAATTTTTTCAGTATAATGTATACTTTGTACCTATGCTAACAACTTACTCCAATTATTTCACAGTTAGTCCAGTTTACCTGCACTTATCAAAGATATGGGGTCAGTTCCCTATATTTCATTTTGCAGTTTTGTTAACTTCAAAACATCACCAAAAAATTATTCTTGATAGTTAATGAGAAAAAAGAATATTCCATGATGCTAGGTTAAACTGAAGTGCAGTGAGATAATTTTCAAAAGTCAAGCAAATTTTAATTGATTTGAATTTTATTCAAGTATACTATTGAGTTCCTTATTTCATTCAGATCTTGAATGTGGATTTGGTAAACATGCTATTTATATTTAGCCTGTTATTTTTGAAGTTCTGCAGAACTTGACTGTCATGTCATTCTTGCTGTGCTTGGTTTGCCTTTTTATTTGGTTAAAACATTTTTGGAGATTCATACCAGGAATTACAGTTTGGAGGCAGAAAAATAAACAGGGTTTTTTACAAGATTTATTATGTGCTAGTTGAACTTATTTGACTGTTTAATGCAATTGGTATGAAATAATTGTTACATAACTGAAATGTGTGCATAATTTGCAACATAGGAGACATTTAAGTACCTTGATACAAATTACCAGTCTTAATTATATTCTTATTTTCTTATTAGGAAGATAATAGAAGTTTTTACAAACTTTTAATTTCACTAAGTGTTGTTACATATTTATATAATGGAAGTGGTTTACTTTGGAACTTTTATTTTTATTAGAGCCATTTTTTATTTTGGCCAATTGTCCTCCAAGAATAAGACATTCATTGGATTTACCAAAATATATAATAATTGGAGTTTAATTAGCCACTGAACACTGAGAATTTCGGATAGGTCTGAATCAGTTTTTGTTTGAATTCAAGTTAATCTTCTCTGCTTTGAAACCACAGTTTTGCATATGTGGTATACAGTTTTCTAAGTAGGAATCAATCTTGTAACATATGTCTGTACTATTGCTCTCACTGAAATCATATTTAGCAGTCTTGCATAACTACGTTTCTTTTCGTAGATCACCTGTTACGTACTGCAAGTCAGCATTCTGATAGCAGTGGTTTTGCTGAAGATTCAACAGACTGCCTCTCCCTTAATCAGCTTCAGGTAAAATGTTCTACTGTTATAGGCACAATGATTAACTTCTTCTTATTTAGGTGATTTTTCAGTAGTTTTATTTCTCAAGACTGAATCTAATCAAATGTAAAATCTTTTTCTTTTAGTTTTAATACCTTATTGATATATAATCTTATAAAGGTTTCACAGGAGCAACTTTGTCATTACAACATTCACCCATATTATCAGCATAGTAGGATGCTATAGAGTCTTCTCTGTGCTATACTGTAACCCCCCTACATTATATGTGCTAATCATAATGCCCCTTAACCCCCTTTTCCCTCCCT